TGAAATGGCATACACGATGCACGAGGTAACATGGCATACACAATGTGCTAAGATACAACCTAGCATACACAATGCTATGAAATGGCATACACGATGCACGAGGTAACATGGCATACACAATGCGCTAACATACAACCTAGCATACACAATGCTATGAAATGAAATGGCATACATAATGCACAATGGACTTACACCAACATGAGTGGACCTCAGCCACACTCACATCAGTAGCCATGAGATGAAAATGAGACACTCGAAATGCGTGCACACATGCACGCAAACCGAGGACCGAACCTAAGGCAACAAATGCCACTCTACCAAAGCATGGCAAGGCATAGAATATGGTATGCAATCATGCAAATTTCAGTACTGAAATGTGATGCAAAATGATCCCGAAACATAGAAACATGGCACCCGATGCATGGAATGGCCCCGAAACACAAAACTAGGCATACGCATTGGCCTATAGCTATACAAAACATGCATTATTTTATCATGAATCATGAAGAAAGATGCAATACAGTCCCAAAACATGCATATTTCCAGTTTATGGCAAGCCTAAAAAATGAACACAAATAGGGCTAATCTATCATGCAAAAATGGCCCTAAAAGAGAGATTAAACACAAAGGGACAGAAGCTGGCACTATCATGCAAGAAAAGGCCTAAAAGAGGGGTAAAGAGACAAGTGGCAGATTCTGTTCTCAAACAGAGGAGAGCCCTTCAACAATGTTGAAGAAGGGCTCAAAAAAAGATATTTTATAGTTTATGGTGAGATCCAAAACAGCTCACAAATAGGCCTAAAATACTATGCAAAAATTGGCCTAAAAGAGAGATAAAGAAGCAAGTGATAGCAGGAGGCCTCAAACAGAGGAGAGCCCTTCAACAATGTTGAATAGGGGCTCAAAAAAATTTATTTTACTGTTTATGTAAAAGTTCAAAACAACTCAAAAATAGGCCTAAAATACTATGCAAAACTAAGGCCTAAAAGAGAGTTAAAGAGGCAAGTGATAGCTGCTGGCCTCAAAAAGAGAAAGACCATTAATCAAACATGAAAAGGAGCTCAAAATATGACTATTTACAGTTTGGATCGGAGCCCAAAAATTCTAACAAGTATGGCTTATATACAAAGCAAAATAAGGCACAAAAGAGGGAAAATGGGACTCACCCTTGTAGACCAATGGACTAGCAGCTCTTGGACCAAGTTTGGGAGCTCTTCACCTCTGGAAAGTAGTCTCAAGTTGCTGGAATGGAGGATGGAGGCCTTATGCTATGGGTTGATGTAGAAATGGTGTAGAAGCAAGGTGGTTTTGAGGGTTGGAATAGAGAGAGAGAGAGAGAGAGAGAGAGAGAGAGAGATTTAATGCAAAGGCTCCAAACCCATTTTTGTAACCCTTCAAAATACAGCTGAGGGGCTGGTTATATAGGCAAAAGAGAGGAAAAAATGGGGGAAATCAAATTCAAATTTCCCCCCAAAAGGGCACCCCCTCGGATACAGGGTCTGGGGGGAAACAAAATACACAGCTGGAAGGAACCAGGTGAGAGGATTCTGGCCAACCAGGTTCAGAAGGTTCAGGTGGTCGGCCGGCCACCTTCCCTGGTCGGCCGACCAGGGGTCAAAAGGGTCAATCACAATTACTGGTCGGCCTACCCAGAAAGGTGGCCTCCCAGATGAGCACAACACAACTATGTGGTTAAAACCCAGAAAAAGTGAACCAAGAGAGAGAAAAGACCATTTTTTAGAGGGGGTCAAAAGGGTCAGGCACAATTACTGGTCGGCCACCAAATATTGGTGGCCTCCCAGGTGTGTACAACACAAATATGGGGTTTAGGGTTCAAGAAAGTGGCTTCGGGGTGGTCAACATTGGCTTTTTAGTGAGAAAAACGGGCAGCAGAGAGCGATGAAGAAATAAAGCTGGCTTTTCAGAATAATTGCTGGCCTTCCACCCTCCTACAAGCTTCCTAACAATGAAAATAAGGTCTCCACCAAAAATGAACCAAAACGGAGGTTCGGGGGACCGAAACGCGCGGCCCGGGGCCCCGAAAATGGGCTGTTAAGCACCGAAGGTGGCGTTCGACCACGAAGTTGGTCTCTCGGGCCACAGTGTTCCTCAAAAGGGAGGAAATAAGGTGTATACCAAAAAACGGAGCAAACAGAGGTGGTTAGGTGGTCCCAAACCGAGGCATACGGCCGTCGGCTCTGAAAAATCGAAAACCGGGCTCCAAATGGGAAAAATGGCCTACGACCACGAAATGTAGCCTACGGCCACTGAGGGATGATCTATGAGACCTCTCTCTCCCTTTGGGAAGAGAAAGCAGAGAAAACCGAGCCTGGTTCACAAACCGAGGTAAGACACGAAAGAGTCTGGAAGTCCGAAGGCAAGGCTCGTAGCCGAGTCTCTGAAACTTCTGAACGAGCACAATATGCAATATCACCAAGCGCTCAATCAGTGATGTCTGAGTCTTAAGGTCGGTCAAAAATGAGTTTTCTACAAGGGTGTGATTCTCAAGCATGAATTCCATAAGGCGTATGATTCGGTGAGTTGGGATTGTATACTATCTCTGATGAAGGAGTTTGGTTTTGGAGATAGGCGGAGAGGTTGGATTAAAGAGTGTCTTGAATCATCCAGATGCTCAGTTCTGGTGAATGGATCCCCTACAGATGAATTTAAACATGGTAAAGGCCTTCGTCAAGGCGATCCTTTGTCTCTTTTTTTGTTTAACTTAGTGGCAGAAGGGTTTAATATGCTGATGCTTAGGGCCAGATCTTTGGGTCTAATTTCAGGAGTTTCGGTGGGCCATGATGTTACGGTATCACATCTTCAGTTCGCTGATGATACAGTTATATTTTGTGAAGCTGATACGGAGGTGTTAATAGTAGTTAAAAGGATTCTCATGTGCTTTCAATTAGTATTTGGTTTGAAAATTAATTTTCATAAAAGTTCTATATGCGGAATTGGTGTGCAGGAATCAGAGTTAGAGAAGTTTGTATCTAGACTACATCGCAAATATCAGAAGTTACCATTAATGTATCTTGGGTTACCATTGGGGGCTAATCCAAGGCTGAAGAAGACGTGGCAGCCGATCCTTGATAAATGTAAAGCTAGGCTTGCATCTTGGAAGTGGAAGCTCTTATCATTTGGTGGTAGGCTAATGCTTATTAAGTCTGTTTTATCCAATCTGCCTATATATTATTTATCTCTTTTTAAGTTGCCCTCTTTGGTGGCTAAGGCTTTTGATAAAATTCGAACAAACTTTCTATGGAGGGGGGGGTCCGATTTGAAAAAGGAAGGTTCATCCAGTTAGCTGGACTGAAGCAACAAAGAGCAAAGCTAGTGGGGGTTTAGGTATTAGAAGAATTCAAGAGGTGAATGATTGTCTGTTGGCTAAATGGTGGTGGTGGTTTGGTGTTGAGGATGACTCGTTGTGGAAAAAAGTTATTTGTAATAGGTATCCTCCAATTGGTGGCAGGTGGTACCCTTTTTTAGTTGATTTTCGGATCTGTTCAAAAATTTGGGTGCTATTCTCAAGGTTAGTCATTCAAATTCTCATCTTTTTAATATTTTTGTGAATAACTCTCAGTTGATTGTGGGAAATGGGGACAAAATTCATTTTTGGACTGATACGTGGGTGGGCAATCTGTCTGTTAAATATGCTTTTCCAAGGTTGTTCAGTTTATCGTTAGAAAAGGACATTACTCTTAAAGTGGTGGCGGAAAGGTGGTCTGCCTAAATTGATAGGACATTCAGGTTTAGAAGAGCATTGCTAGGCTGGGAATCTGATGAGTTGATCAGGTTGGGTGATTTTTTTAATACTGTTGGGTATAGTCTATCAGAAAGGGTTGATAGGTTATAGTGGGAGGCAAGTTCATCTGGTCAATTTAGTGTTTCCTCCCTGTATTCCATGTTGGAGACCTCAGAATCCTGTCCAGTCACTAAGATAATCTGGAATAATTTATCTCCTCCAAAGGTTCAGTTTTTTGGTTGGTTGGCATGGAAGGGGCGTCTTAAGACTTCTTATTTTCTGCGAAGAATAGGGGTACTGGGACCTGGTGCTTCTGTATTGTGTCAGTTTTGTCAATTGGAGGATGAGGTAGTGTCTTATTTATTGTTATGGTGCCCTTTTGCTTGGAGAGTATGGTCTTGTGTGATGGATTGGTAGGGGTTGCGTTGAGCTATTCCTTGGAATGTGGAGGATCTTCTTGGGTGGTGGGGTGGCTTCAGGTGGGGTAAGTTCGCAAATTCGATTTGGCGGACTATTCCATTGGCTGTTATGTGGTCATTATGGAAACTTAGGAACGAGGTGGTGTTCAATGGTAAGCAAGTGCACCTGGAGGAAGTCTGTGACTTGATTAAGTTCAGAATTGCTATTTGGGTAAAAGCTCATTTTTTAGGGTGTTTTTACTATGTGCGTGAAATTGTTAATAATATTCAGCAGATTAGATGTCAGTCTTTAACTTGTTAGGCTCTGTTAATTCCAGGTTGTGAATATCTTGCTTGGGTTGTACATGATTTTCCTGGCCTGGTGTGTGGTCTTGGTCAGGTGTGTTGATCTATGTTGGTTCTTGGGTGAAGCTTATAGTTTGTGGCTAAACTGTGAGGGCAGTAACTTCTCTCTTATTGATGATATCTATGCCACTGAATGTATACTGACTTGGGTGTTGATTAAGAGATCAGGATATTTGCTTTGTGGTAGGGATTGATGCTTGGGTCTGTGGGTGATCAATGTTGCTAATTTTTCTACGATGACTACTTCATCTCAGTTTGGCTTGAGGGTGAGCAATGCTACTAGCTGTTGTTTTTCTCTGTGGTGGTGAAGTCTTCAATTTGGCTGCTGTCATTTCCTTCTGGTGTTATGTTTTGTTTTCATGTTTGGTAGGTTGGATGGGTTGGGTTGTTTTAGTTTTGGGTTGGTCTACCTGGGTGTTGTTGTTTTTTGGGTGTTTGTGGTTGGTTTCTCACCAACTTCTGATGGTGTGCTAGCATATGATTTGGCGATCTTATTGGTGCTAACCTAGTTGGGATTGATTTGGTTCGCTATGAGACTTTTTGCACTCATCCTTTTTTCTTCTTTTATTGTTGTAATTTTTCTTTTACATCAATAAAGTTTGTTTTGCTGATAAAAAAAAATTCAGAATATTTATTTGTGAAATTTGTCAGAAATTAATTTTGGTTTCAGAAATAATTTCTGAGTGTTTATTAATTAAAATTCTATTTTTCAGTATTTTAATTATTGGTGTGTTACAGAAATTTAATATTCTGTATGGAATTAATTTGTTTAAATAAAATTTTATTTTATTTTCAAATTAATTAAAAATAAAAGTTACAATTCTTGTTTCTTTTTTTTTTTACAAAATTTAATTATGTGGTTATGGTTTAATTTTCTATGTAGTATAAAAGTCTAATTATAATTTTGTTTTATAATTTAGAATTCATGGTTACAGAAACTGGTCAAACTAATGTTCAAACCAGTACTGGTATGATGGTTGCAATTGTGCCAACCCCTCCTATAACGCCCTCAAAATAAACTCATAAATCATACATTCTTGACATGCTTAAACATAAGAGGATGAACCATAATTACATTTCATCAGAGTATTCATTACAAAATGTATTACATGTTGACAACAAAAGTAAATGCCCTATAGGCTTACAACTTTACAAGTCAACACTTGGTTACAAAAGGAGAGTACTAACTCCACACAAAGTAAGCCCTTGGCTTGATATACATGTAATACAACAAAAGAATGACAAAATAAAGTCAAACAGCCTCAAGCCTCCCAAGCTACGTCCTTGGAGGTGGCATGCTACCTGTACCTGAAAATGATGTCCCATATAGGGTGAGCTATAGCCTAGTAGAGAAATACTAAACCAAATATAAGCAATGACTAAAACAATAGCATTTGATAGATGGTTAACACTTATAATCCAATTACATCACAACACAGTTCCATGACAATAATGTCCATGTTACGTTCTACTTTCCATTTCTTATCCAATTTCTCGATTCATAACTATGGCTCAGAACCTGGCCAAACAATGTAAATGAGATTACATCTTATATCAACAGTACTTCCATTTCAATTGAGATAACAACTCAAATTAAACACTTCATACTTTACATTAGATACACATAATTGCTGTATCAATCTCAAATAAAACACTTCCGTACTTCGTACATGATACACAGATTTGTTGTATCAATACTTCAATAGATACACATTTTTGCTGTATCGATGGAGTCCATCCCCTATCTCCTCCCAAACAATATCCGATTTAGGAGTCCATCCCCTATCTTCCCCTAAACCGTGGAGTACATCCCATATCTCCTCCCACACAACGCAATGTATATAAACACATATCATATACATAATTAATCAATACATAAATTTGATGTATTATTCCAACCGTCATACCCGATGACATATTCAATGTGATTAGTTTCAGTTTTCCCTAATCAACATACAGTGTCCACAACAATCAAGACTATCCTCCACTGATAGCCCAAAGCAATTATTTCTAAACAGAAAATAAATGCACTAAACAAATACAATATCAACATTTTAATGTGTGAGTGATTAATTAATCCAACTACACCATTCAATCCCATAATTCCCCAATTTCATGGATTTCAACTCAATTCCACACTTTTCCCAAATTAATTATACCAATTAATTTATCATAACACATTTAGGGCATTATTCCCTTATTCTCAAATAATGATCCTAAGACCAAATTCCACCAATTTAACTCTCAATCCCACATTTCTAAGGCTCTAAATACACATGGAGCTTTAAAACACAAAACCCCTCTTTTATGAATTACAACCGAACCCTAACTTTTCCCAAAATCTCCCAACATCACCAACTAATCAAAATGACCAAAATTAAAGACAAAGCTCATAGGATGGAGTAGGATATCCCTACCTCGAAATGAAGAGCTCAAATGGAGGAGATGGCCACAATCCAGAGTGCTCCAAATCTAAGATTTTTCAGATTAAAAGGAAGCCCTCAACACCCTCTATCTTTCTTACAAAGAGCCTAGGCTAGAAACTCACTAGAAGTAGATCAATCCCTAGAGAGAAGTTGTTTAGAGAGAGAGAGAGAGAGAGAGAGAGAGCTCAGATCTAGGGTTTTTGAAAAAGGAGGAGATGAAAAAGTGAAGTGTAATCCCGCTGCTGTCTACTGATATACGTATGACCTGCTCGAGCGGAGAATAGGACGCTTGAGTGTCAGACACAAAAACTGGGCCCACTCGAGCGCAAAGATGCCCACTGGAGCGCCAAGACACAACTGCAAAACACACCCGCTCAAGCGCAAAAGAAAAGACGCTCGAACGTAGATTACACTCCTCTAGTACTTTTACAGACATCGAACACCCGCTCGAGTGCCAAGGTACCCGCTCGAGCGCGACCCGCTCGAGCGTATGGAAATCCGCTCGAGCGTGAAAAACGCACCTGCAGAAGTTTTGCAGAGGTACAAAATGATGAAAGTGTGTAAACTCCGCTCAAGCGCAAAGGGACCCGCTCGAGCAAACCACCAAAAATCTGGGCAACAACGAATGGGACTAAAGTTTAACCAACCTGTTCGAAACACGCCCAACGCATCCTAAAACTCAAATATAAGGAATTAAAGGATGACAACGAGACATATATAACAACCAACCCCACGGAACCTAAGTCCGGATACAACAATCAAAGGAGGAAGAACCAGGATCGTTATACCTCCTCTTGTTGTGACTGTACCAGTTAATCATGGTGAAAAATTAGAAAAGTTCTTAGGAACTGATTTTAAAAGATGGTAGAAGAAAATGCTATCTAAATGAGGGGAAACTAAGAAGTACAAGTTTAATGGCAAGTATTACTTTTGTGACAAAGAGGGACATTGGGCCAAAGATTGCCGTTGCAAACGTAAAGACAAAGGAAGATCAAGTAAGAAGCCTACTCAAGTCAATATGACCGAAATGGATAAAATTTCCAATGGTGTTGATGACATAAATTTTTCTGTAGTTGTTTTCGAGGCAAACCTTGTCAGAAATCCTAAAGAATAGTGGGTGGACACTGGTGCTACTCGCCACATCTGTGTTGACAAAAAGATGTTCACATCTTATTCTATAGTGGACAACGGTGAACAATTTTTTATGGGCAACTCCTTAATTTCCAAAGTTGAAAGACAATGAAGGATTATTATGAAGATGACATTTGGAAAGGAACTCACTCTCAATAATGTGCTGCATGTACTGGACATTTGCAAGAACCTTGTTTTCGGATCTTTGTTGAGTAAAAATGAGTTTAGGCTAGTTTTTGAAAGTAACAAGTTTGTATTTACCAAAAACAGGATGTATATAGGAAAATGTTACATGTCTGATGGCCTTTTCAAAATGAATGTAATGACTATTGTACTCTCTGTTATTAATAAAGATACATCTTCTTCTTACTTGCTTGAGTCTTCAAATTTGTAGCATGGTAGACAAGGACATGTTAATTATAGATCTTTGGGTAGATTAATTAATATGGAATGTTTACCAAAATTTGACATTGATTCAAATCATAAATGTGAAATTTGCATTAAGGAAAAATTAACTAAAACTCCTTTTCATTCAATTGAAAGAAGTACAGAACCATTTGAATTAATTCATAGTGACATTTGTGATTTTAAATCAATTCAAACTAGAGGTGGAAAAAAGTATTTTATCACTTTTATAGATGACTATACTAGATATAGTTATGTTTATTTAATTCAAACCAATGATGAAGCTTTGGAAACTTTCATTCAATATAAGAATGAAGTTGAAAATCAACTTGCTAAGAAAATTAAGAAACTTAGAAGTGATAGATGTGGTAAATGTGAATCACCTTTTGGTGAATTTTGTAAAGAACATGGATTAATTCATCAAACCACCACTCCTTACTCACCTCAGCAAAATAGAATTATTGAAAGGAAAAATAAGACTTTAAAAGAAATGATGAATGCCATGTTAATAAGTTCTGGATTACCTCAGAACTTGTGGGAGGGGAAGTAATACTTTCTGCTAATTATATTATAAATAAAGTACCCCGAAAGAAAGTGAATCAAACACCTTATGAAATGTGGCATGGAAGAGTACCATCCTACAAATACTTAAAAGTATGGGGGTGTTTGGCTAAAGTGGCTATTCCCAGTCCTAAAAAGACTAAGATAGGTCCCAAAACAGTTGATTTCATTTTCATTGGCCATGCCAAGAATAATAGTGCATATCGATTTTTGATTCATAAGTCAGGAAATTCCGAAATGCATGTAAATACTATTATTGAATCGCGAAATGCGTCTTTCTTTGAACATGTGTATCCAAATAAAACTGGACAAGAGACTAGTACTAATAAAAGATCTTATGATGCTATTACTAGTCATGATCAAGAACAAGATCAAGAACAAGAGCAAGAGATAGATCAAAACGAGGAAGATGAGCCTAGACGTAGTAAGCATGCCAGAACCTCAAAATCTTTTGGTCCAGATTTTCTAACATTTTTGTTAGAAAATGAGCCTTTAACTTTTAAAGAGGCTATGTCCAGTTCTAAAGCTTCTTTATGGAAAGAACCTATAAATAGTAAAGTTGAATCCATCCTACAAAATCACACTTGAGAATTGGTGGATCTACCACCATGT